AGAAACGTTCTTAGGAGAGCCAGTAAAAATAGAGTACTAAAATAACACATCAACCAATGACTGTCAAGGATTTCCCGCGTGGGGAATGCGATCTCAAGGCTAACTGATCAGCTTATTTGCGCAAGCATACAATCCAAAATTAGGACGTTTATCAAGTGAGTTCTAGGGATCTAACGTCCCCGACAGATAACTTGTTACAAACAGCGAAAACATTCGGTGAAGTCGATAATAGCATACATTACGACACAATGATCAAAATGCGTGAACAATCTGTTTAGCCATATTTATATGTTTCCCATAAACATTTTTACGCACAACCACTTGCATCATACGAAGTCACAGTAATGAAAATTAGTTATGTTTAAGTAGATGAATATAGACCAAAGTTTTCTGTTTCACCTAAGCACATGTTGCACGGAAAATGAAGATCCACTGAAAAATGTTCAGTACTACTATAACTTCGTGTACGTTGAACAGTTGGTAAAAGTAACTGGTAAGCTTTCTGACCATAATTTATAATCATAAATACTATAGTAATAACTCCAAGTTACATTCTAGACTTGTTTTTGTTTATGGACAGATAGTTAAGTGAGTAGTAGTTAACTGAAGTTGATACTGTGAGAGGCAAACAGATTCATTTCATTCACTAATAGTTATGATCAATCATGCATAACAAATAGTAAACAAAACAGGTAATTCAATGTAAAATAATAATAATGAGTTATTCATTATAATCATCAAATGACGAGACTTTTTGTATAATAATCCAACAATAAATGTAGTTAATTAGGAAAAATATAAAAATCAGGAAAACATTATAGTATAACTAACTGTCTTTGTCATTTTTCTAACAGTCTCACAGAATCTGCATTTATATGTTCACTAAAACAAAAATATCGCTAAATTTTAGTGTCAAAGCAATTAGCGATATTTTGTGATTTTATCTTCCATTACTTTCCGATTGAGAACCATCCAACATCCAATATGGCTGAGCTCCTTGTCGTCACAGTTTCGCATTAGGACTCGTTTAATTACACCGGAAAGTTGCTCACAAATGAGCAAAGTGCTGAGAAGTCCCATATTAACACGAAGAATCTGTTTAATGCTTCCTAGTTACCAGTAATTGTCTAAGATCAGTCTGTGATATTAACCATGAAAACTGTTGTATTATTTAGAGGATGATTTTCAAAACGTAATAAACCAATAAACAAATACATACTTTTTGTATTTAAATCTAAACTCAAAGATGTGTTAATATCAGTCGAATCACAGAAACAATCAGTGCATCTCCATAAATGTAAGACAGTAATTCTTACTAAAATTAACTAAACAGTTCAAGACTGCTGTTGATTCTATGATAAACAAATGATATTGACAATAATAAAATGTAGTTCATCAATTAACTTTGTAAATCTTGAACTGTGTACACTAGCTAGTATATCGAGCCCACATAGCATGTACCAACCTTCGAATAAATTAATTAATCCATTATTTCCAAGTTATTCGCACCTTGTTAGTTATTCACTTATAAACTTGATTGTTTTTATATGAGTGTGTCTTTGATTAGCTTATCTAATATGTCTAGATTATTTTTGTCTCACTACAAATACTTAGTCGTCCCTCATGACATTGAGTTGGCCCACTCATCTCCGCTTCGCATTCTATTGTCTGTCTGCACACACGAATATATAAAACAAATTTATCCACGAAACCTTATTGAGTTTTTAATAATCGCTATCGAACAAACGGGGTTTGCCTAAGAATGATATACGGAAATTAGATAAAAGATTTGTCTCGTAGAATATTAAATCATTTTTCTAAATTGGGCCACTAAAATATTTTCTCAACTTGGCATATTTTTTGAACAACTAATTCAAATTTGAATAGCTCTAATGCTTAGGCCAAAAAATGACTCCAGCATCTTCAAACAGATAAACACGGTTAAAATTTGATTTGGATCATTTCCGTGAAGAAACTGGAACTAATTTGCCAGGAAAAAACGATAGAACTATTTGAAATTCATTCACATACACTTGTCAAGTATATTATTTCAGAAAATATTTTCATATATTTATCACGTTGCATAATAATTGTTCGATCAATGAAGATTACTTTTAACGAAGACATTAAAATTCTTTAGTATAGACTTGTGATTTGTATAAACCTATTTAATATAGGATAAAACGAGCATCTTAGATTAAATTATTGACTAGCATCCGAAATATCATTAGCGTATCGTTCCCGTGAAGCCGTTATAATCTATATTCAGTCTAACTATACGTGATTAATTAAAATTACATTAGTATTGTAAATTGATAGGATATACTGGTAAGAAAACTGTTATGTGACTTTTGCCGGAGCTTTAGATCTTTAACCGTAACGTTATTGATTAGAATACACCTGTGCACGTCTATTTGTATTTTCATGTATTACTCTTTGTCTGTTCAATTTTCATATTCACTCACTCAGTTCACCTGCTTGAAATATATATGTGCTGCAAATACAAATAGTATTCGACTGTATATTTCTTCTATATTGCGGTAACGTGATTAGTTATCGGAATATTTGTGTAATCAAGCATGATATATATATATATATATATATATATATATATATATAGTATTGTTCGATCAAATTAGGGTCATTAACAGGTACTAACAGCTAGAATATCAAGCAACAGGATATATGCGCTATTTGTTTTCATTACTAGATGTTATATAAAATTCTAACTAACTTCATGCTTATACGTTAATATTATGTAATCAAATAGATTGGATATGGGAAAATACTTTAAAGAATCATATTGATCTTTATGTTATCAAATCGTTGAACATAATTATAAACATTAGAGGTTATGTCGAAGTTGAAGATATTTTAGTGATGCGCCTTCAAACAAAACTTCACTGTCATATTTTCAGCATAGTTGAATACAAGTATAATAAAGCATTCAACTGAAAATTGTATCGACATCAAATTAGTGATGTTCATCTCACAATAATCGATAACATTGAATGACACAAGTATACCGTGAAAATGTAGGAAAGCGGTGAGTATTAAACCACTAATTTAGTTTAAGAAGAAAATAAAATCATAGACATATGAAAGGATATCTATATTTCATTACTGTCGAATGCGATAAATTTACTGTAGTCGATTATTACTACTTAAAAAATAAAAGTGAATAATCCGACCAATTATTAGGAAATAAGCTAGGTTTTACATCCAATGACGCAAATCAATATGCAGAAACTACTAGTTGTAGTTTCCGTAACTCTTTATCATTGGTGATACAATCTCACTATAGGCATTTTCTTTATGTGGATTATTTTATCAGCGAATTTTTGGGACAATGGAATAATTTACCACAATCTCTCCATGGAATAAAACCACTCCCATATTTTATTCGCGGCACAAATGCCTACTACTCCTCCTCAGAAAATACCTTACATTTGCTTACAGCTATAAGTATATCCCAGTCAACAGGTAATATTTCAGGAGCTCAACATATCGAATCGTTTTACTACCAAGCCTACAAATAAACCTCCTTACTTGCAGATACTTTACACCTACTATCCCCTGTAAATTGAACTAATTAGAATAGTATCCTAACTTGAAAATCTAAACCGTCTACCTGAATCATGGTAGAATTGAGAGACTTGAGTGACCTATCGTTCTAATGATTGCTTACATAGTTCTGTTCTGTCTTATTTTCCCTAGTTGTAGATTATAACCGATGCGTAATAACACTGGCAACGACACTAAATACACCGTTAATACAGCAAAAGAATGTCGATTTATAAAGAATTATTAGTTTCTCAATGACACCTTGAATTATTATTATACAAGTGGAAAATTTACTACCGGAACAATTGTCGAACTAGAACACTCCAAAAAACGTAATATGACATATCTATCCCCTACTTAAACATTTATTCCTACATCAGGCTGACTAAACCAGTGTGAATCCCGTAATTATTAAGATCTTAAGTTTATTAGCGACGGGGAATATTTATCCAGTTCGCAAAATGGGCTTTAGCTATCTACAACGTTACTAATGGTAAAACGATAAAATCTTACACCCTTATAACATCACTTCCTTACCGTATACTGCATTATGTTACTTATTAATATTCAGTAACTAATATAATTATTTCTCATTTTTGTGAATAAAGTCTATGATAGCACTTGTTGAATAGTATTTACATGGACATGTGTTACATTATTCGATTATGAAAATAATCGTATCCTTTTGGGATTTTCAAAGTGAGTATTTACTGCAAATTTCTTAGTCATTTCAGTCTTTTGTGTGCATAGTCCTCATCAAACACCAGGATTGGCAATTTCGACCGCCCTAATCTATCACTTGTTATAAACTTACCGTTCAGTAAAAACTTACAAATGTTATCCTAAACCATTTTTCAAGACGTTAGTCACTACTGAGTCTACGTGGTTACCTTAATACAAAAACGAAATCATCGGTATACTACAAACTAACGTCTCCAGAGTTTTATGATGGTTGTTCAAGAAAATCGACAAGAAAACCTAGACCTAGGTTTCATGCTACCTTCCGACTCATTGGCCAGATGTATTTACAATCTTGAGAAAACTGATGCCTCTTGGAGGATTCAATCCTATGTCATCCAGCTTTCCAGTCAAACTGAACATGTTACATCGTTCATTGCTCAGCAGTTTGTAAATGCATCCGTCTGTAGCGAACCGAATAGGTCAGTAGTAAAGTTTCAGACTGTGGAACTAGGTGAAATAAGTTATGAATTGTTTGTGAACCGACTATCAAAAGTCGAAATCTTCCAATCTAAGATTAAATTGCCAATTACTCTGAATTCAACTAAATAATGAGACAAAAAGTTAAACTTAAAAATACCAGATGCCCCCAATCGACATGCAAATGCAAGTTTAATTAACAAGCAAAAAATATTGCATAATATTATTAAACTAGAATATCAATAAATAACAAAGATAATTAAATAAGTTTTATGCAGTTCAGATCAAAATTAACTAGTGATCACATAAAAATCAAAGTTCAAGCATTGAAATTTGAAAATATTCCAGAGAAAATATGATTTCAGAAAGACTGATAAAAGACATCAAGGAGAAATTACCTACAACTATGTTCTACAGGTAAAAAAAAGACACTATTAGATAAAAGTCCAATACAATGACATCAAAAGTATGTTAGATTTATGAAAACTCATACAAAATTGACTTAAAAAAAAATAATAAAGTAGCTATTATAATGTAAACGCTTTCGAAAAATCAACTTAAACCAATCCAACCATTTTGAAGCCAATTAGTTAATTGTTGTAGACAATTTACAATATTTGAAAGTTCCAGTTTGAAATTGTTCAATTCTGATGAATTTGGAATTTTCATCTTACATTGATTATATAACATTTTAACATGTTGATATGATGCTTTTACATGAGGAAAATAAATTGATTTATAACCAATAGTTCCTTGAATGACATTTTTCAAAGGCGAGGTTTCACATTGACCAGCAGCAACAAAATGTTTAGAAACACCAACCAGTATACGATTAAGATAGGAGGGAAAACTAATATCCAATAGAAAAACAACGAATACAAATTACATTGTTTATAGAAAGAAATAATGAACTGTTTATTTTCTTATTCTCAATTAATTATTTACTAAATGACATAGTAAAATCAGTATGTTAATGAAATTAATTGGGTTCTTAATATGATCTTACAGTAGAAAAAGCATCCTGTTGTTTTTTAATGAGACTACAATTAGAGACTGAAAATATAATACAATAGGTATAGACTACCTCCACTACCTGAAAAGATTTGACGATTTCAAAGTAAATTTAAACGACACCGTTTATTATAAATTTGTTCAGTCATTTATTTTTATTGAACTCATGAATTAACCATTGTTAGACCGCCATTGGAAAACTGGAAGCACTGGACAGCTGTTTTATTCGTGTTCGATTCATATTTCGATGAAACTCAACAATCTTCACTGCTGACTAGCTAGCTACATGAGGATATTCTCGGAGATCTAGTGAGAAGACTAAACCAATGGAGTTCAACTCTGTCGGATGTAAGCAGTTACCTACCGAGGACCATGGGTGAAGTTGCGTAATACCTTGCATTGATTAAAGTTAGATGAACGCTCAATGGTCTAGAAGTTAAGCGTTCACGCGCGAGACTGAATGTCTTGAGTTCGATTCTTGCGTGCAGGTGTCGTAGGTGCGCACTATTCATGAGTCCCATACTGGGACGAGCGGCCGTCCAGTTTTTCCAAGTTTCTAATGGTGGTCCGACGATGATCGATTCATGATTTCAATGAAACTCAACAATCTTCACAACTCTATAATGTCAAATAAAACTCAAAAGCTGTTTTGTAGTCATTTACACTGTCATTCAGCTATTCATTGATAACATGTTTCTGTCACCAAGTCACCAAAATTCAAAACAACACGATGAAAGGATCAAGGACAAAGATAATAAAAATAACGTTAATAGAAAACTAAATTGTAGCTCTCCCTCTCTCTTCATTTTAACACTGTAATACAATGAATATATATTATCCGAGTACTGGAATAGTAGTAATTACTTATTTGTTTATAATTATTAAGGTTAATAGAGGAAGGAAGATGTGAAAATTAAAATTGTATCGGAGAATTAAATGATTTGAATAATCAATTTATTACATGTATATATATATATATATATATATATATATATATATATATATATATACATAATCAACAGAATAAATCAGTACATGCAGTGATAACAGGCACGAACGAATTACATTATTGATTTTTATCATCATCCTTGTCAATGGTAGTCATAGTGTGGTGCGCGCAACTTATAAGTAGCATATGACGCGAGTGAAAACGTAATGTCTGGCAGCAGAAGATGGGGGAAGATCAAGAAAGGAAGAGTGGGAACACAATGGAATTTGTATGAAACGCATGAATAGTGAAATGTTAGACAATGGATTGATGATTGATTGAAGATTTGCAAACTAACGGTTACGATATGGTTTTCCTATTTTACTGAGTAACTCTGTGATTTTCGTTAAATACAATTCGGTTGCCCTCACCTGTGTTCTCCTTCACTACAGTGTTAGTCAGGATAGCATACTGGGATGAGCAGTGGTTAAGTATGTACAATACATGTCTCAATGACACAAGTTAGCAGTTAGTGATCTGATCAATTGCCTTGCTATTTCCAAATAGCATACTTGTTACAACTTCTTGAGTGAAAATGCTTTATTAATGCGAATATGAACAGCCGCAAGAAAAAATATCAAAACTGAACAGTAACGGGAATGTGAAAAATCGGAAGATAATTTTATTAAATATTAAATCGTTTCTTAAACTTGCTCAGTGTGGTTTTTCTCCATAGTATTTGCAAACTCTTCAAACTCTTGAGATGACTTCTGAAAATTTTGAAGTTCTTCCAAAACCCAATCTAATATAAGTAATATAACAAAATTTAACATTTCATTAAGACAATTATCAAGGAAAGTGTAGTTAAAAATGTTTCTTATCTGAATTGGCTTTCTCATTAAAGTTTGCGAAAGTAAGCAAATCATGCCATGTTGTAATTCTTTGGAGAAATTCAAAACATAACAACGGAGAGCTTGTATTTTATTTAGTGCTAAGTTCATTTACATGAAAACACCCGTCTGGATTCGATTTACCCACATGAAAAAAATTTAAATTATCAAGAAAAAAACAAAATCGAATTCCACATCGTTCGCCGATAATAAGTAATGCAGATTGAACTTAACATAGGATTAAATATCTTACGGACTAGAAATCCCCTTCAGAAAATCATTTTTCTTCAATTAGAGTTATGGAGATTAGTGTTTTTACACATTTGAATTCATCAATCAATCACTGTTAGACCACCATTAGAAACCTGGCAGCACTGCACGGCCGTTTCGTCCTGGAATAGGACTTGACCACTGGGTCGGCACACAACGTTGTTAATGTCCAACTCTGATCAATCTACAGATTTAGCGCGACCTCATCCATTTGTCTTTGGTAGTTACTGCCTACACTCGACAGGGTTGAACTCCACTGGTCACGTCTTCTCACTAGAACTCCGAGAATTTCCTCATGAAGCTAGTCACTGGTGAGCACATTTTACGATTTTTCAATTATAGATATGGAAATTAGTGTTTGTTGCACATTGAAATCATCAAACAGCCATTGTTAAATCACCATTAGAAACCTGGAAGCACCTAGCAGGATTCGAAACCAGGAAGTTCAGCGTTGACGCGCAAGATCGAAGGTGCAACAAATCATATCTCATTCTAAACGATTACATTTATTTACAAAATGAAGGAGCTATAATGATCAGCAAACAATTTTAAATGATCAACATAAAAATTTGTCAAGCATATTTGAATAATTATTTTGAGAAAAATTACTTAGATTCACGCCATATTCCAAAATATTAGGTATTTCACGTGCGACCAACTTCATAAATTGCAACCAATCATTCGATAAACCCTGTGAACATCGTAATAATGAAAGCGGTAGACGTGGAGCACATGCAAACTGTACGATAAGAGTTAACAATAAACGAGCGATCAATCTATGTCGAGGCAAATGACCTGTAAATGGTGAAGCAGGATCAGTGAATCTTTCTGCAACATCAATAATATCATAAGCTGTATGATAAACTGGTGTATTGTATAAACCATCATCCTATAACAAACAAATTAAATAAGAAAAAAAAGAAAGATTAATGGAATATAATAAAGTATACAGTTCATACATTATCATTAAAACTTTGAGCTTAATAACTAATTACTTCACAACTTGACATAAGATATACAGGATTTTAACAATCAAATCAAAACACATATTATGTATACCGAAGCGGTTTGGGGATGTTAGATCCCCAGAAATCGTTTACTGAACACATCTTAATTTTTTAACTTATTTGTGGAAATATGAATTTCTTATTTTCGCGCCAGAAGTGCCCCTTATAACCGTCAGTTTATGCTTTTCACTAGGAAGGGCCCTAAACTTCATTGGTTTGTTCGTTTGGGGCTGCTTGTTGATGATATATTCTTCTTGCAGATTTCAGACTTCTTCCTTTAGTTAGCTAGGCTTGGGCGGAGAGAATAGCTTAGCTATTCAGTCATTGCCAACACAGAGTTATGGAAATTGAGTTTTATCGAAACCATGAATCGATCAATGTTATATCACCACTCGAAACCTGAAAGCTCTGGACGGCCCTTTTGTTCTAGTATGGGACTTATCAGCAGTCAGGATAGGAGGAGATTAGACACGCGTAACATATGTCTTAACCACTTCATCTGATAAATACTTACAACCTCGTAAACCGATACGCCACCTTTGTCTAGTGCCTTATGCTTAACTTTGACATTGCTCACTAGGTTACTCCATGATTCTTGAGGAAATGCTACAAAGACACTTATATAACCAATAATCTATTACATCACAATCCATTAAACTGAGTTATCAAAGCTTCAACTATTAGAACGACTTTATACATCAGAGTAAAAACGTTTTAATTTTAAACAATAAACAGACTTACTGGCAGAAATTCTGGATACGTAGATGGAATCCCCAAACGATAGGCAAAAGGTATATGATCCGATCCGCCACCAAGAGGTGTGATTCTAGAAAGACACTAACCAAAATAAATAGTCAGAAGTGAATTTTCTAAATTATAATTTAATTTGTAGTATGAATAATACAGTTTTGATAGCGTAAAATAAAAACACAAATGGAAAATAAGTCATCATGAGTCATGGAAGATAACGAAGTTAGATGTTATATAATTAAAACAATGCGTATGAAACTAATGTAAATTAAATGTTGGAAAAATGAAGGATTAGTGAAACAAGACATTACTATTAGTTATGGTCATGAATGGATTGCTTATATTGATGGGGAATGACTAGTAAAAACGTTAAATAAAATTTGACCATATCATTAAACAAACACCCGCTTACTGTGACAAAGTGATAAAGTTCACACATTCTGGTTCCATGGTCCTAAATCATCAATAATTTGGCTTCAATTCATTTACAGCAGTCCTGAACATTTCACTGATAGTCCTTTAGTAATTTTAGAACCACCTACTACGTAAGTGCTTCTTATATACTTACACTCTGAACTTGCTGAGTATTATTTGTATGTCATATGGAACTAAAATCAGTGTCATTGTATAAGTTCCTATATTTTTTAAGCTCGCTATAAATACGCCTTTTAGTTACATGTCGTGTCAAAAAGTTCTAAGCGTATGAATAGTGTAGTTCGTATTCATATCATGCATGCATCACATCAACAGTCATTATAAACTACTCACCTTACCAATCATTTACGTAGTTTGAGAACGAATTCAAAAAAAATTTCAGAACTTTGAACGACGTTTGCAAATAACTTTGCTTTGAAACAATATGAGTCAGGGAATAATTGATGAATATGTGAGGGAATCAAACGAAGAACCTCATGTACAACTTTACTTTTCATTAATACACAGAAATGGAATCCTTAGTGTATCTCCATGTTTTTACTGATAGTCCAACTTACATACTGCGTAACTGATAAGTCTAGATAGGAAAGCGAGTTCACGTCTTTTCTAGTTCGGTGTAACATTTCATTCCTAATGTGACATTTAGACGATCGCATTATTCTCAGTGTAACATTATAGTCAACACAATATTAGTTTAATATTTTCCAATGTAACATTACTCCAAGCCGCTACGTTTGCACTAATTAAGTGTAAATTCGTTCAATATGACAGGTGTGAACTTTCGCCCAGTGTAACAAATATATTTGTATTATTCTGTGTGAATTTTTACATGTGATTAACAGTAACACTGAGTATCCTTTAACTTAAATGACGTTTATTAACTAATGGTCAAGTGTGTGCAATATCAGCATATAAATTTAGTTTAACAAAGATGTGTTTTTGAAGAGTCAATAAATGTTTGCTTGTGCCGGTATAACTCCCCCAGTAGAACCTTCGGGGCCAGACACCATCAGCAACAACGAACTGTGGGAGAGAACAAACCAGATTCCAGTGGAGGAGGAAATCAGGAAGAAGCGGTGGAAGTGGATAGGACACACACCACGAAAAGCACCTAACTGCATCACGAGACAAGCCCTCACATGGAACCCTCAAGGCAAAAGGAAAAGAGGAAGGCCAATGAACACATTACGCCGAGAAATAGAGAAAGATATGAGAGGAATGAACAAACAATGGACAGAACTGGAGAGGGAAGCCCAGGACAGAGTTGGTTGGCGAAAACTGGTGGGCGGACTATGCTCCATTGGGGGTAACAGGCGAAAGTAAGTAAGTAAGTTGTGCCGGTATCTTGTTTTTAATAAGAGAGGTGGGAATAGCAAGTACAATCGATGGGACAACGAATTCAACCAACCTGATACATAAACATAGCAAAAGCAACGCTAAACATAGCACTAACAATTACTATACAATCAACAGTACACTCTGAAGTCATCACGAAACATTTATAGAGAAGAAATGACTTACTTCTTCAAATAATGAAATTAAAAAGCTTTAAACTATTTTTCATCATTTAAAAACCAACAATTCAAATAGACAAGACTATCTTGTCGACAGTTAGAAATATGAGTGAAACAATCCAAATCAATAATCAAATAATTTTTTTTCAACATCTTAAAAATCAAATTCAAACTTACATTGGTTCATTAGGATCACCCATTTTATGATTTAACCATTCATCATAAAATGATTGCATATTGATTGGTGGATCAACAGGAATTAATTTTGCAGCATTTAACAAACTATCGATTAATAAACTATCAGTTCGAGCTGAGAAATTTTTATGACCTTTAATTGGACAATCTGAATTAATGTAAACAACACATCGAGATAATAGTTCATATTCTGATTGATGTACAAAATGTGTTGAACCCAAAACAGAAAATTCCTCACCATCCCAAGAACCAAGAATAATGGTACGACGAGGTTTGAAACCTTTTTTTTCAAAAATAATAATGATGCATAACATTTACCAAATGAGGATATGCATATAAATATATCAATCAACCAACAGCAACGCAAAACTTCGTACGTACGTAGATCAGTTCATGTTGCAATACCACACTAGCACAGAGACGCAATTGTCAATTCAAATCCCATAGTAGTAGAGGTAGTAAAAGTATTAGAAGTAATCGGAGAGATTAGGGTTTGAAGATATTATTCAAGAAGTAAAGCTCAGTTAAATAAACTGCAAAGTAAAAGATGAAAGTGATGAGGAATTCCGAAGGTTAGGATTTAAGTGAACAAAAAGAATGAATGCACCTGCGCCATTGAAAACGGTTTTCAGCCATGTCATTCAGGGTCTCTAATCATCGATGGCTATCCGCGGACCCCAATCAGGTAGTCAACACCTACTAACATGAATTAGTCCACTTGTCAGTGACTTCATGCATTTATGCCATGTTTTGGTCTAGCCGCCTCTAGCTTCCTTCCAACCTATTTTTACATCGCAAACAATAGCTCGACGAGGCAGTCGGTGGTTAGACATACGTAACACATGTCCCAACCATCTCAACTGATGGAGTGTTATAATGCTGCTACGTATAGCTATTCAGTCCTAGCGGCGTCCAAATTCAAATATCCCAGTACGACCCAAATACTATTTCCCAATCTCCTATATATCAGAACGCAACGCCGTTGGATGGAGTTGTTTATTGGGTCGAGTACAGAAGAGAGGTAGGCAGGAAGAAACGGAATTATGGAGTCTTACAGATAGTGCGTAATTATACATTTAGGGCGAATAGGAAAGAGCATCAAAGTCTGTGACATTGACAGTTTAGGACGACCAATAGGAAAGAACATTGAAGTATTTGACTTTGACAGTTAAAACGATCATAATTTTGACCAATAGGATTATACTTCTAAAAATAGTACTCTTAGGATATTTGGTGAATATCCTAACATGGAGTTCTTCCAACACTTGATCTATTGATCTGCCACCCTTACCTAGAACCCGTATCCTAACAACAGCATTGCTTATTCAGTTATCCCAAGATAAATTAGGAATGCTTCGGAGATACCTATGATCCAAAACCAGCAACCTACGAATATCTTCTACTCTGACTGACGATGTTTCACAACCATATAGTAGGACGGAGCGAAACGATGCGCAGTAGACTCGTCCTTTGGTTAGCAAACGGATATCTCGCCTTCGCCATAAGTGACGCAGTTTGGAAAAACCCAATCAAGCCTTTTGTATCCATGATATATATATATATATATATATATATATATATATATATATATATATATATATATATATGAATAGCCTCTTTCGAACTTCATCATAATTTTCACAAGTGAACTCCGTTCACGAGAACTATATAAAATACTATGAACTGGTACAAAATTGTAAATGACACTAAAACGCTTAAGCAAAATTGACTACTATTATAGCTTATAACGGTTGCTACTAGTCAAAAAGAAAAAAATACAAACTAATTTAAATGTTAGCAATATAGGTTATAAGGTCAAAAATGAAACTACCATTACTTTAATTGTAATTGTAATAATGATCCAAAAAGCAATCTATACGAATCCATTACTCACACAAAAAGAAGACAAACTTCATAATTTCTTTCGCTTTGTACTATAGATTATACAAAAAAATATCAATTGTTTGAATTCCTAATGCTTGTCAACAACAGTTCATTCTTTGAAAATTGGTTCGAAGAAGTTTTTTAAAAAAAAACTGATCATCATTTGCTTTTTCGATAACAAACAAACATTGTTCAAGAATTTATTTGATAGAATCGCTCATTGTTTATTGTGTATAATAAAACAAAAGTAAACATGCTTACCATTACGATAAGCTTCACCGAGAATACGAGCGATTTCTTGTAAAATCACCATACCTGATCCTGGATCACATGCACCTTGTACCCATGCATCATGATGATTACCCATAATTATATACTGATCTGATTCAGTTGAAGTAGTAGTATTTTCACCTGGCATTATACCCACTATATTATATAATTTCACTGGAGTTTTAGAGACTTCATTATGTACTATTACTTTTAAACAGCTGTAAAGTTCAAATCAATAAATATTTACTTGGTAAAACTTTTCTAATCAAATTACGCGATGTTATGTCAACAATCTTGTTACACTGTTACAAACAGTATGAATCGAAATAGTACGACAGAAAGAAATAATTTTTTTTTCCTAAGACTATCTATAAACAACGATGTATTCTTCTAATAAATTACAAATCTTAAAAACATTTTAAAATTAAATTAGAAACTTATGATAACTTACAAGTTTAACGATTTTGTGAAGTGTATGAAATTAGAATCAAAAACTTACTTAAAACTAATTTGAGCTGACTGTGTCACTTTCAAGTGCTTTCTGTACAATATACCCCCCCCCAGACAGAAATACAAAATATTCACATTTTAACTATTATTATTATTATTGACACGTAAGAATACATTAAAATTATGAGCTTAAGTTAGTGTTCGGCTGAAGCCAGAAAGAAAATGTGATTATAACTGTTAAGATGCTTTGAAATTTGACATAGTAGGCCACTTTTTTGTCAAAATATCTCTCCTTTTAAATTATACTTCCTTTTTCGTACTTTAGCCTAACACTACATACTGGACATACATACTGGAGGGAAAATGATAGTAAACCATTACCCAGATTATTGATGTGCTGCGCACAGGAAACTAGGTACAATTAATTTTAAACATACACATTCACCATTCCTGGTTATCATCAAAACCAAACCACGTCCTTTAAAGGATTGTTAAGTGCCAACATGGAACGCAGTTCAAAACAGGTAATACAACATAGTAACTGAACAAAAGTTCGACTACCATACTCTGAACCACGCTTGCGATGCGAGCTCTAGAGATACTAGCCATCTGAAAAAAGTGAAATGAGATTTGAAGATAAGAACCGATAGTTGAACAGTATATTTAAATACACCGTGAGACTTGGCTTTATTAGCTCAGATTTTCAACTAATGAATCTCATATAATAGCGTTCATCTAATCACTGTAGTGTAGTTCACAAATTAATTAGCACATCTGAAATTCCTTACTAGCAATTATAATTTAGAAGATACTAATCAGAAGTAAGCAATATAATTCAGTTGTTAATTAAAGTTTGTGAAATCACTTTTTATAGAAAATATATTTGAATAGTGAAATTTTTAATTCTAAAATTATATTTAAAAAATAATAAAGCAAGATTATATACATAAAACTTCAACCACATAGCAACCAAGCATTAGTAAGTTGTTACATGGTTACATTTAACACTGAGAAGTCATCCACTTAAATTGTCTTCCTATTCCTCAAAATAGTCATCAATCTCCACTAGCCTTTCTCTGAAATCTAACTGCCTGTCACTTTATACTACAATCAAAGTGTTATCATTGAATTAACTGTTGCTTTGAGGCATTGAGTAACTGAACAGAATGAGATAACCGACCATACAAACAGTAAGAAAGTAATCACCATTTCCATAACTGATACGGCATAAAATATTCGTAAACTACTAGATTATAAGAAATAATTTTGAAAGCCACTTCGTTAAATATAGAATTACTTCTAAAACCTTACGTTTTAGTTGATGGTCCCAAATGAGTAGCTAAATGAGTATCCCAATCATTTGGGATAATCGGTCCCTCCAAGCATGATAAAAATACTTTGGCGTCATTATAACCAACAGGTTGAACAGGAATCTGTGTAAGAGCATCACCTTTTACCAATGTATCAGTTCGATAAATATGAGCTAGAATCAAAAAGATCACATTTTAACAAGCTATTTTTGTAAAGTTAAACTTAAAAAAATTCAACAAATGGTTAAGTAATGAAATAGAATAAAAAGATTACTACTAAATATTTAACAGGTTTTACCGATTGAAATGTAAATATAAAAGGTAATCTTCAAATAAAACCTCAGGCAATTACAATTCACAAATACATAATTACTAATATATCCAATATTTGCAGAAAAAGTTATCAAACCTAAGAGTTAAAATTATATGCTGAGTGACATAGCTTGGAATAGGTCACAACAGCGAAAACTCATCCACACCTTATCTATTTTTAGATCCTGAAATTTAAAATTATTCTTTTTGTCTAAATTTACTCTTTCTTCTTGAATAATAACGTTGGTACCTTTCTGATATCTTTTTTTCATACTACCGATACTGTTACTACTTATAACTACTTTTAGATTGATTTTGATAATTTTATTTGATTGTGCCAATGAGGTGTGGCGACTCGAAATGATGCATATTTATTTCAAGTTCTAAGTTGTGTACGACTAACTGTTTTACAGAGAACATTTCGGGAAAATTCTAATATCTTGATTATGCAAAATTCGTTGAATATCACCCGAGATCTAAATTTAAACATACTCCCTAGATAATTCGCAAAAGTAGTGGACGACAGAACAGTCACTTTCTATAGTTCTGTATTCATAACAAATTAAATTTGGTGAAAAAAGGATAAAGTGAGATATTCTGATGAGATCCTTCAGTCGACACATAAATATCCAAAATGTGAATAAATCCTAAACATGCAAAAACAGCAACTCACGAAGTGATGGAAATCCAGCACAGGTCGAATCACCACCGCCAGCAAATTTCATATTCATGTGACCAAATACTGGAGCATCCCCTGGTAGCCCTTTCCCATTAGGATAAATCTGACCATCTGCAGCAAAATCTTGAGGATCAGGATACAAAATAAGAGCGCCGGGATGGTGGTCAGGAAGTGAAGTATCATTTGGACCGCATGTACAGTGTTCCATTAAATTTTTTAACTTGGATTGTCGGGTCCCATTGCCCAGTCTGGCAATTACAATCAAATTTTTGTTACATATATGACTAGGTTCACCCTTTTTTCGGCCTTGTAATTTATCGAACAACAACAAATCTTTACGTCTTGCATAATTCACAAATATAAAATGTCCAAATGATTCACCAGAACACGAATAAGCCTGATACACAGGTAATTGGTTATTTCTGGAGTTATCAACAATTTTATTTTGAGAACATATTTCAGACTTAGATGGAACAGTAACTATATTTGTAAAGAAATTATTTGTGAAAATATTTTGAAGACCAAAATGTTTTACAGAAAATTTCAGAAACAGTGAAAAAAATATCGAGAGAAATCAAAACATGATTATTCACCAACATTAATTAAATTAAATGTCCTAATCCGATTTATTATTGATATGTTCGTCAGTTGATATGCTTGAACTATTACGAGTTCACCTTAATCGGTAAAAGTAGCGAAGACAAATGTTGCAGTGACACGATAGGCTATTCTAATCCGTTTGTTCCAGGCCCGGCTAACTATATCAAGAAGTCTTGATAAGGCGTAGAAAGTGTATTCTACAAGCACCCAGGAAATATGAGTTCGCCAGGCACACAAATCAAGCTTATTCATGCATGATAGAAACATCGTTTGGGAGATCCACAAAAACAGCATACTAAATAATCCATCAATGAATGACAGTCATGGATTTTCTGAGTGGGAAATGTAAACTGAAGGTCAACCAAGCAACTTATGCGCGAAAACCTAGAAAACCCGAAATTAGGACCTTTTCCAAGTGAGTTCTGGAGATCTGACATCCCCAACAAATAGACTACTGATTTTGTTGAAATTCATGAGTATGAGAAAAAATGAGCAATGATAAACAATTGGTACTCAATAAAAATCATTTCCAGTATAAGCTCTAATTACCCGTTAGTGATCATATCATTCTGAAAATAAAAGTAAGATATTAAATAATTCTTTCGTTAAGTACAGATTTGTATACTCGACTTTGAACTATACCCTAAGTACAAAAGTTAGTGGTACCACACATTTTCTCAGATCGAAGTAGATGTATTGAGATTCAGATATACAGAGTTACAAACTGATCAGTCTTCTCTTTTACACGATCAGTCAAATAATATATAAGTCAAAACTAGAGGGATTTGTCAGCATTCTTTCTACATTCTGAAATTCAGATTGAAGGCTTAAGAAACATACTAATGGTGTACTAGCCAAATAGAAACAAACTAGCGAAAGTAAATTATTAATAATTGATAATGTAGCATACATTACATTATTTGTAACAAAGATAATTCCAAATTTCACTCGTCTATTTCTGTGACTGATTGAATAAAACACATTTCATAGGGTATAAAGCATATACTGTTAAATTACAAGCCAAGTGAAAGCACCTGAAGTAAAAAACCCCCCTTTAGATGGGTCATGAATGTGCAGTACTGAAGTGCCAAATAGTAGGATGAGACAGCCATCCACTGATACCTGATCTTTAATGATCTTTCAACTAATGTCAGTTCGTGATATTGATCATGAAAAAGGCTCATTAATGAGACGTTTAATGAACCCTCAACAAATAGATGACAGATTTATCCATGCATCTAAATACTTAACTACTAATGACTCTGGAGTTCAGATAGATTTCAAAGTCATAACAACCTTCCACTGATATCTCCAATGAAAAATATTCAAAAAAATTATTAAGTCATAGATCTGAAAATGCAAAAACTCACCACTATTTTGAGCTCTGTGTATGACTTCAGTACTGTCAGAGTTGGTAAGAAGTACTTCATTCCATGGACCATTCTCTGGAGGCCCCGAAGGTAGAGTCGTGTAAAATTCTTGTCTTTTGACAATCGGCCAACCCCAATCTTTCCAACTTTTTTCTATAAAGTCTATAGTATCGACAATATTTAAGAAAAATAAAGTGGTTAAACAGGAACACTAGAAATAAAGATTACTAATCCATTTACTAAACTGATTTAGGAACCAAATACATAATTACATGACAGTGATGCTAACAGCTTGTTCAAATTAGAATCGATCGAATAAAGCTCAAACACGTGACCCAGTGGTTACCGACCGTAGCTGCTACCTTGATGTAGTGGTCGGGCTTGCCTATCGTGATGACCCAACCGAGCTATATTGGCTGGAATCCATGTTCCCCGTAGGTCCGACTATGCCAGGCAGGTCGATTGGAGAACGATGAGACTAAAAGCAGCTACTTAAGCTCTGCGGAAGAAGTCATACTGCTGACTGTAGACGTGTGTGACAGCAGTAAGGTATTTCCCTCGGACAACCAGCATCTGCAGCGATGATGCCTCCTCACAAGGATGGAAGGGTTAGAAAAGGTCGACCCTAAAAATGTCGCACTTCCCCTTACCTCACAGATTTCCGTCTCCGGTGGTAAGGCCTTTTAAACAAGAACGGAGATAACATTTGAAAAACTTCCCATAAAAAGGCCGTGAGAGATCGACCTCCAGCAGTTGTCCCTTGGACTCTGTGGTCGCGCTCCCAGATCTCTAAGACGAACACTAATCTACCTTCCTTTTCAGGTTCCTTAAGAAACACCTTTCTACGGTGCGGGCAGCCGGGAAGTGATATCCTTCCTCATACTCGCAACAGCACACGAGACCGAATTGGCCACAATCGAATCCTGCCTACCCCCCTTACATCTCTCTTATCTTCACGCCTCACACTTCTTACATCCCTTTACCACCCTGCACTGTTAATAAAAACGATTCGAGTTCACGAAGTTATTCCTGGTCTCCTAAAACCCCGTTCTAAACTACATGTTGGAGCATTTAATGTCCGGGTATTGTGTCAAATAGGGGAACAGGCTTCCTTAGATAGGACTTTAGAATCTCGCCCAATCGATGTATTTTGAGTCTCGGAAACGCGAATACAGTATCCGAGCAGCGTCATTCACTTGACGTCACTTTGTCGAAATAAAGAACCAGCTAGATTTACTCTTCATGTATCAGGAAGGCCTGATGCTGCTTCCCAGGGACTCGCTTGTATAGGTATAGCATTGAGTCCTAGGGCAGAACTAGCTCTCCTAGACTGGATCCCAGTAGATAGTCGCTTGTGCGTTGTCCGACTAAACGGGAAAGTAAGGACTCGGAGGAAAGATAGGGACACGCTGTTGCCTCTTCATCGTCTCTGCCTACGCTTCCACTGACTGCAGTTCAGACGAGGTGAAAGATGAGTTTTACAGAAGGCTTTTGAACCTCCTCCAAAAATTTAAGCGCTCTGATATAGTAATAGTGGTTGGTGACTTCAATGCCCAAGTAAGTAGACTACGTCAAAAGGAAAGACACATGGGTGGATCTTATGGTGTCGCGGCTAATCGAACAGATAATGGCAACCGCCTGCTACAGCTATGTTTAGATAACCACCTATTTCTAGCAAACTCTAACTTAAAGCATAAGGAGAAACATTTTTTGACCTGGCGACCCCCAAAGTTGTTTCAACGCTGAACCCAACCATATCACATCGCCTTCAGTCACCGATAGAGGACTGTCGCTCGTTCTGTGGCATATGTCTATACTAAGATCATGCACTAGTGCGAGCGCGTATTTGTTTGCTAATTATAGGAAAGACAGTGCAAGGAAACCTGTTTGGGTTCTACTTAATGATAGGATAGCTAAGAATATATTTTAGGAAAAATTAGAAAAACAGTTCGGTAGCCGTGTAAATGATCCCCATCTCGCGGTAGCTTGGAATGATATGCAAAAAGCTGTGGAAACAGCAGTGAAATCTGCTAGTAAGGTAAACCATAAAGTTTGGGATAAGCAGTGGATCTCAGTAGCATCCACCGACCTCATAGGCTCTCGGAAACTCATCCCACTTGGCTTTGAATATGACGAAGAGCGAAGTCAGCTTAGGCGCAGGCTGATAAAAAGCCTACGGAACGGTCGTGAACAGTGGTGGGTGGCGAAAGCTAACGCGATGGAAAAGACAACTGTTCCGCTTAATCAAGAAAACCGGTATTAGAAATCAATCTGTTAGCGAAACTATCTTGGAAAAAGATGGCTGTATCATTCACTCTCAATCCAGGAGATTGGATCGATGGGCAGAACACTTTAGGGATCAGTTCAACTGGCCTTCAACCATACTTCCGTTGCCCACATTCTTCAATCATACTGAATGGCAAATCGATATACGTCCTCCGAGTCTTTACAAAGTTGAAAGAGCTATAGGAAATCTGAAACGAGAGCGAGCCTGACAGGCTAATCCCAGAAATTTTTAGGATGGTTGTTCAGTTTTAGCAGTTAGGTTGACTAAGATCTTAGCTAGAATCAGGGAACTGGGAGTGATCTCACCTGACTGGTCTCAGCCACTGATCGTCCCAGTCTACAAGAAAGGACAGAATTCCTCTTGTAACAATCACACAGGAATCAGTTTATCTAATATAGCGTCTAAATTGCTAGCCTCGATAATACTTAGACGTCTAACGAGAGCTCGTGAAGAGCAGACTAGAGAAAACCAGGCTGGTTTTCGACCTGGACGTGGAAGTATAGACCACATTTTCACACTACGTCAGGTCCTAAAACAAAGACACTCGTTCCGACGCCCCACAATAGTAGTAGTTCTCGACCTTAAGGCAGCATTTAACTGTCGAACGTGAGTTTCTGTGGCAAAGTCAGTCATTGAAAGGTGTACCAAAGAAGTACACAAACCTTATACAAGCTTTATACTCGAACACCACAGGTCGAGTGAGGGCTTATGGTGAACTGTCAGCGAAATTAGTTACTTCAAGTGGTGTCCATCAGGGCTGTCCACTCTCACCATTCCTGTTTAACGATGTCGTAGACATGCTTCTAGAGTTAACATTATCCTCGTCAGACTTTTGAGGGGTAGATGGATGGATACGAAACACGGCCAGTAAGGGTAGGGGCTATTCGTAGGTTACTGGTATTCAATCATAGATGTCTTAGAAGCATTGCTCGTGTATCCTGGGACAGCCGAGTAAGCAATGCTATAGTTAGGAAACGGGTACTGGGTAGGGATAGCAAATCACTAGATGAAGTATTGAAGCTTCATCAGTTGAGGTGGTTAGGACATGTGTTACAAATACCCGACCACCGACTACCTCGACGAGGGATGTTTTGTGGTGTAGGAGTAGGTTGGAAGAAAGCTAGGGTCAGCCAAACTTAACTCATGGCACAAATCCATGAAGTCACCGACAAGCGAACTGAGTCATATTGGCAGATGCAGACTACCTAGTTGGGGTCCGATAGACGATAGAAACCGATGGTTAGAGACCTTAAATGATATGACTCAAAATCGTTTGCAGTGGCACTGGTGCATTCACTCGTTGTGTCCTCTCAAATTCTAATCTTCTGAATTGGTTATCACCTATACCTTTCTCTTTTTAAATTCATTTCATTGAATTATACTCCTTGAATAATATCTTCGAACCCTGATTTTCTACATAAGTACTATGGGATTTGAACTAACCATTGCGTCTCAGTGCTAACGTGGTATGGCAACCTGAACTGATATACGTACGTACGAAGTTCTACGTTGTAACTGACTGTCACATTGCATAAACAACTGAACAAAAATGACAAGTATACACCAGCTTAATAATTAACAGCGAGAATAAAGTGGCTTTAAAAATAAGAAAAATGCAATAAAATGTATTCACCTGCTATTTCATAATTTTCATTGCTACCCGAAGGATGCGGACTACCACCACAGAATTTATGCAAGTGTTCCATTAGAAACGTATCCGACACATTTTTACACAAACTTTGTGATATTTCTTGCCACATTATACAAGAGGCGAACCACTATTATTCGCTTTGATAGCTTCAAATGGATGAGAGAACTATGGTTAAACACTATTATTTGCACAACAAAATATTAACAAACTATCAAATGGAAACTGTTGAATAACCAATATATTCAGACTAAGCTGACTAATATATCGAACCTAAAATGCTTATTTCGGTGAAATTACAGAACTGGATATCTACAGATCAATTACTTAACCTTCAGAAGGGTAGAAATATAGTCGAATGTGGTTTATTTACTAATTAACTAAATTTTATAGTCTCTGTGAAACATTCAACTGAAGAATAAACCTAATCAAAGAGCTTTGTACATTGAAACCTAGTGATTCATAACTAACAGGTAAATCGGAACTGCACATGCTGTGAGGTTGAGAGGGCGAACTAGTATATTTTTGGAAACAACAATGGCGAGAATTTAGTGCTGGTCATT